AGGGTGTGAACTTTGGGGTGACACAGCTTGACGATCATTTTAAATTGCTCCGAGCAGCAAAGACAAAGGCCAATTGCCAATTGTGAAGAATTAGAGAAGTTTGATGATTGGCCAATAAAGTGGCAGATGAAGTGTAATGTAGGAGTGCATCTAGTAAAAAAAAATACTGGCTTCATCTGATAACTAAAGGGCTTGATGCTCGGGAATGAGGACAGCTTGATGAAAATGTCAAGGCAACACTCATCAGTGGTCAAAAGAGGGAACTTGTGTATTAGGAATTACCAGAAAAAGAAGAGAGCACTAAACAGAGCATGTCATTACGTAATGGGTTTACCCACACTCAGTGTGCAGGATCCAGTTGAACTGTAAAGGTTCAGAGAATGGCAGCGAGGATGACCAAAGGCATGGAATGGCTTTCACAGGAAGAATAACTAATGAAGCCAGGCCTCTTCACACTGCAGAGGAGACAACTGAGGGAGAGTATGATAGAGAGATGTAAAATCCTGCATGGCATCAAGATGAATACAGAAGAGCTGTTTGTTCACTGTCTCTTTCACTACGTGAACTACGGGACATTAGATGAAACTTGCAGGTAGGAGTTACGAAAGGAGGTGGATTTTCATACGATGCACAGTTAAGGTGCAAAACCTTTATTTATTTAGGTCTTGTCCCAAGATTCTGTGGATGCTAACAGTGTGCATGCATTCCCTTCAAAGGGAAGCTTGCACAGATCCATGGACTCACTGAAGGATATAAAAGATAGGAAGATCACTTTTGGCTCAGAAGATCCCTACAACCACAAATCTGAAGGGTGTGACAGGACTCAGGGGAGGCATTACACACACTTGCCCAGTTCTTATACTTTTCCCCAGGCATGCAATTTTAGCCACTCTTGGATTTCACAAGCTAAACTAGACCAACTTTAACATGAACCACTGTAGCTGGCCTTACATTGCTTTTATGTTGGTACCTCTTCCTACTTGTGTCTGATTGAGAAATGTTATCTTGTGGATGAGGCACCTTGTCTGCATGTTAGGAATACTTGGGCACCACTCCTAATTTTTCTCTTGACCTTGCTCATCGCCAGACCTTCGACAGTTGCCATGAAAGAGTTAACTGTATGGCTAAACATGGAGACCTCTATGGCTTATTTAATCCAGTTTTCTGCTGTCACTGGCAAAGATTATGGTATAACTCCTACAAATAGAAAAACATTCCTATTAAAAAAAACAGGACTTTGCTTCCTCTGCTCCCAGCAGGAGGTATTACAGACCCCCACTGCTCTGCTTAGGGGAATCTTCATCTCATTTCCAATTAAATCATATTGATGTCAAATTTTTGGATGTTTTTGCTCTCATGGCAAAACTACACTTCATCTTACATGGTGTGTGTTTCTCCTATGGATTTATTCCCCTGCTGTATTCATAGACAGTTATTACTTCCTCTTCCTGTTCTCCCCTGTACCCCAGTAGCTTTTGCTTTGCTACGATGTCTTGTTACAGGGTCACAGCTGACTGGAAATACTTTGCTACTGGGATAATGTAAGCGTGTTCCACCTCTCATGTAAGAGCTTTCCTTTCCTCTGATCATCCTAGTGGCATCGCAGAGCAGAAAGACAAAACATGCTGCTTGCTTTCTCTAAATGCAGCTCATGCTGTTCAGGATGGCCATCACAGGAGACCAGGCACTGCACCGCATGATCTGAGGCGTGGGTGGGAAACACTGATTCCACTCTATTCGTTCCCTCTTGACCCAGCATCGAAGGGTAAAGGAAGGAAAGGTAAACACAGGGTGGCAAGCACATTTAGCTGAGAGAGGATATGAAGGAGCTCATAGGTTTTAGCACTGCAGCATTTAACCTAACTTAGTTAGGTGTTTCTTACAGTGTAAATTCCTTTTGTAATGATTTTAACGGATTACAAGAACTCAGTGATGAAGTAGCACAACAGTGGGACATAATCTGTAAGTTCCCCCTGCTCTTCCCACCTGGCAATGGGTTTGTGGGCACGCAATACAACAATAAATAGTAATACAAGGCAACTCACTGTGCTGAAGTGTTCTTCAAAAGGATGGGAGCCACAATAGAGGCAGATCCTTGGACAGACAAACAAGAGACGTTTAGACCCCGCGTCTCCTCATAACCCCAGAACCATCCCCTGAAAGGGAAGACAAAGTATTGGTTCACAGGCTTGTATTTTAAATTAATGCCATATATAATGAAACAAATATACAGTACACCCTAGAAAGATGATATATAATGTAAGTAAGCCAGTCAGCTCCTTTATACTGTTTTTGTGTGAAACAACAACTTTCTAAAATTAGATCTTCTAGTACCAAGGTAACATTTTATTATTGATGGGGTTTTAAAAACAAAGTGAACCCCAAGCATCCAGAGATTCACAGAAAACACTAGAATAACCACACAAGTCTGTTCTGTTAGAGTAGGCAAATGTCTCACTGAATACAACTAAAAAGAAGTCTGAAAGGACTGCTAGATGTTACCTGTAGTACTCATGTTTATCTTTGGAGTACATAAGCTGATCAATGCATGGCCTTTCATCTATTTTTTCTTCCCATGTTCCTTCTTTCCATCCTTCTGCATAGCCTTGTAGGACATAAATCTGTTCAATAAAGGGCCCACCTGACTCTGAGCAGAAGACAAAGCAAAGCATTTGTGAGCATGAGAAACCACATCCTAAAGGTATGAACTAGCATTACTTGCAGTTAAAAATCTGCTAGAAATGCTAACATTACACTACTCTCTCTTCCCTGTTTTCCCTATAAAAAAGGAAAAGTGTGAGCCAGAAAAGCTAAAAGGGTCAGGGGATGTGACAACCTGCTACTCCCACCCGGCTATGCAGGATTTAATATGCCAAAGAGAACTGAATCGCCGTGGAAATGTAAATTTAAAAGCTGGGTAAAACACACCGTGAAGCACAGGTTTTTCAGTGCTGTAGGTAGCTGCTATGGGAAGAGTGCCTCCAAGAAAATGTCGAGTACAAGCCCTTCTTCCCCTAAATTTCAGGGTTTCTAAATGCTTTTTCCTGAAAGGTAGGGGACTGATCCCTTCAGAGCTCTTTGCAGAGGTGTGACATTTGGTCACCTTTTTTCCTTTGCTGAAAAAGTCTGTGACACTGCTGCAGATTTTGGCATTTGCTCAGCATGACATCAAATCCTCAAGGAACCAACTTCACGTTTTCCATATTCTTAGGGAAAGTCTTTCTCTTGTATACCATTTTGCACACAAAAAGCAGGGGATAAGTATTTTGAGTATGTGCAGCATCAATGATGAAAAAGTAAGTTCACCGAAGAACCCACTGTACAGCTTTTGCTGTCCAACCACCTCCAGAAAAAGGTGGCTTGTCTGTATTTCGGCAGAGAGCTGCAGGCTGCCTCTCTCTCCTTACAGGGTTGTTACTATGGCCAAAATTACGCAGAAGTATCTGGACTTTAACCAGAGGCATTAACTGTCTTTCTCTGGGGTCCCTAGGAAGTCGAGGGGCCAACAGTGCTACATCAAATGAGCTGCCAAATAATCGGGTTATTTCATCCTAGTGGTTTGTTAGCGCAATTCCTTCCCATCCCTCCTCTTGCCACCTTTAACTTTTCTTATTTCACATATAAGGATAAAAGCACATATAAGGATAAGCCTGTGAAGAAACCACCTCAAATATTTAGTCAATTGTAGATTGTATGATTCCATACTCCACCTGCAAGGAACTGCTCATATTCAATGACAGGGATGTTCCTGTTGAGGCTTGGGAGATCGAAGAACTCAGACCAAGGGATCCGGACCTGAAGGATGTTGGGGCTCTGCCAGTGATAAAGACGTCCCCAGGGAGGCAGAACTAACACCCAGTTTTCACTTTTCAGCAAGGTCTTTAGAAGGGAAGCAATGCGAATATAGACGTCTCTGCGAAGGTTGAACCCTTCAGGAGGATTTACATCATACAAAAGGTATCTGGGGAAAACAAAGGAATATAGTTACTTTGGGGAGTTTAAACCTTTTACATGTTTTTTTTTTTTACCCTGCAATCATGTGATGCAACGCTATTGGGATGGAAACTATTCGTTTTTCATGAGTTTGCGGTACTCAGAAGATGGAAGGGGATGAAGCAGGGGAAGGTCGAACAGTGTGTGCTGCAGGGGCTGGGGGGCACAGAGGCTTCCTCACAGGAAATCATCAAGGTGGCACACACCACGAGTCTTTCCTGCGGCGGGGTGCGATGCGGGGGGCCAAGGAGCGAACCCCTCAGATGTCTTGCGTGTCCTGAGGGTAATGTGGTGTGTGCTGAGAATGATGAAACAACTGGCACATTACTCGGGCTAATTCCTGTGAGCTGAATATGAAGGCAGGAGGATATGTTCAGGAGGGACAGGGGAAAAGGCTGCACATCACCTGCGGCAGGGCAGACAGGCGGGGGTCCACAGGCTGTGCTCAGAGCAGCAAAGCCCCCAGACAGGTGCAACAGCGGCATCCTCCAGAAAAGACCCACACAGCGCCAACAGGTGAAAGAGAACCTTTACGTGCCCACCAGCCAACGGCTCAGAGACATGGCACGTCACCCGGTGGGGGGCCCGACGCACCCCTTAAGGATGCCGCACAGGAGGCTGCGGTGAGGAGGGTGCCAGGGGCGGCAGGTGCTGACCCCGGCAGGCGGGCCTGGCCTGCGGCCAGCGGGCCCGCGCTGGGGCTGGGCCGGGGAGCTGCCGCCCCGGCACGGCCCTGCCGGG